TTTTGACAGTTTTTATTTTGCTCATGTACATATATCTTTTTCTTATTTGTAGCATATGCAGAAGAAGGTCACCTGTGGGTGCACACAAACTGCGAGGCAGCGAGGCAATGGCAAGCCCGCGAGGCATACGAGGCATGCGACTGATGCGAGGAAGGCTGCGAGGCATGTGAGGCAATCCCGCGAGTCCTGACGGGCCTTTTTTTCTACTGCCCTTGGGCCATTGGTTTCCCTTGGTTTGAATGCATTTCCAAATTACCCAGAAATTCGTTTATAAAACCTTATCGAGTTTGTATGAACGTAGTTTTTCATTTGACAGATGAACAACCCAAAATAGTTAATATTCCAAATTTTTTAGTGAAGCTTGTCACTTGTTGAGCTATTGTCTAGGTTAATGTTTACTTTTTGACGTTTTGACTGGAGTGCTGTAGTTATTTAAAACTATAATGTAGATACAGAACTGTTATTAAAACTAGAATGTCGTTCACATTTGTCCGTATGTCCAGCGTCAAGTTAAGTATGTTCAATATGTTAAATATCGTCAAATTTTGGAGTCAGTCATTGTGTCCGCCTCCCACTGGCACATCTGCCTGACTCGCACTTTTTTTCATGCCTCGCACTTTTTTTCATGCCTCGCACTTTTTTTCATGCCTCGCACTTTTTTTCATGCCTCGCACTTCTACCTCACATGCTTCGCACTTTTTTTCATGCCTCGCATCGTGCCTCATATGCCTCGCTGCCTCGCATGCCTCGCACTATAGTAAAACTCGTCACCCGCTGTTTGTTGGTTTCGTAACAGGAGAGTCCAGAAAAATGTCTAGCGTAAAGTGTAAACATATACATGTTCCAACTTATGTACTTTTATTGTAATTACCTACCTTTAATTCGATTAGTTTACATATGCAGAGAAAGCCTACACGACGCTCTTCCGATCTCTTCAAAAGCTTACAGACTGCAGACATATTAAATATACATTCAGTAACAACACGCGAATTGCTATAAATAGCAACGTTACAGTCTAGTATAATGATATGATGATTTGTTGTGCTTTTGTTGTAAGTAGGCCTATCACTAAAATATATTGAAAATCCTTCTAAATGACTCTTTATAAAGTATACAAAGCATATACATTGATATCGAAACACAAAATTCAAAGTTTTGAACAATTTGAGCTTCGTGACTCTGGTATAGACGTATGGGCCTAATGATTTAATTGTGTTACATTCCACTGGAAATCACCAAAATGAGCTTTTTTAAAAGTCTCGCGTGAGGCTCCAAGGGAATAACCCAAGCTAGTTTTTATATATAACATGTACTCATGCTATACCATTCCGTGGATGAAATATAAACAAATTCACGATTATCGCACATAGCTAGTAAATTTCCCCTTCAAATCCAGTGACAAAATGCAATTGTAAAATTTGACTAAAAATAGCCAATTTCAACAACGTCTGTCAGGCCAGTTAAAGCTTCCTGGGCCATTCTATATTGATAAAATTGTTCTTTAATACTTGAATTATAGTCATTATACCATCAAAACTATCTACGGGCAGTTTTGAATCTGTCGCGAAGTGATGAAATTGACCATGGCAACGGCTTTGTCTGCGGCTAATTATAGCCTTCCGGAGACAAATTCTTGATTTCTAATATTTGTACGTTTACCGACCAAATATTGAATATCTAACCCAAACACCATTTACAACTAGGTATTACCTAAATTTGAGCAAAATATGAAAGAAATCTATTTTTTATCTATTGCCACTGTTTGCTCGATTTTTACGGACAGTCGCTCTTAAATAACCATCAACAACTTCAGCTCCAAGGATGGCGAGCTAACTGTGATATTCAAGTTGTTATTGATCACTATGCTTGTGTTGAATATCTCACAAAATATGCAGCAAAAGGTGAACCAAGATCACCTATATTGAAACAGGCATGCAATTCTATTGTGCAAAATGTTGACAGTAATACTGACCCTCGTAGAGAGTTATTAAGAAGGTAGTTATGAAATCTCTTGGTGAAAGAGATTATGCAGCTCAAGAGACAATGCATCATTTGTTGTCTTTAAAACTTCACAGCTCATCCTTTACAGTGATGCCAGTTAGTCTAAATGGTTCACGTAGAGTGCGTGATACTGCAAGTATTGATGAGGGTGAATCGTGCACTGATTATTCACTTCTTGATGTGTATGCTAATCGTGAACAATATGAGAGTTCACAGAATTCAAATTTTGGCCTATATTGTAAGTATCAACTTTTGAGGTATAAACCGTGGAGAACAACCCAAAATAATGCATGGGGTGACCAGGAACCAACTGACAAGGTTCTGATCAATTGTTGGCATGAATTTTTACAAACACCTTATGGACAATCTATAGTCCCAGACTGGTTTGATAAATTACCAACTGTTACTCAAAGTCAAGAACCAGAAAATGAACCTTCTGAAGAACAGGAGACAACTCGAGAAGAGTAGATGATATTGTCAGACCTCAAGTCTCATGTCTCATTATAAATGGTGTTGCAGGAACTGGTAAAAGTTACCTTATTAATGCTATTAGAAATCTTTTGCGAAGTAAATGTGCTATTGCTGCTACCACAGGTAAAGCAGCTTTTAATATTAGAGGTGTAACTGTGCATTCTCTGTTAAAGTTACCTATAGGATCAAGAGGTAATAAAGATCTAACAGGACAAAGCTTGTGTAGGTTCCAAGAGAGTGTTAATAACATTGGATACATCATTATTGATGAATACTCTATGCTTGGCCAAGTTACTTTTGGTAGGATAGACAAGCGTTGCAAGCAAGCAACTGGTTATAATGACAAGGTATTTGGAGGAAAATCATTGACTTTAACTGGTTATCCAGGTCAATTGCCACCAGTAGCAGATAAACCTCTTTACCATGCTAGACCATCAAATGCTGTTGGTGAACAAGGTCATCAAGCATATCATATGTTTGACAAAGTTGCTAAACTCACTGTAAATCAACGTGTGCAAGGTATGACGTCTGAGCAAATACAGTTCAGAGATTTGTTATTACGACTTCGCAAAAGGGACTCAACAGTAGATGACTGGAAGTTACTTCTGACACGTCAACCATCAAATGTCATTAATTTATGTGATTTTGAAGATTCTACTAGACTCTTTTATAGTAATGAACAAGTTGGTAATTACAACCATGACCAGCTAACAAAACTTGAGCATCCAATTGCTCATATTAATGCTCGCCATTCATCAGCATTGGCCAAAAAGATATCCTCACATGATATGTCTGGGTTAGAACCTGTTGTGTTTCTAGCAAAAGGTGCTAGAGTCATGTTAACCATGAATTTGTGGTCAAGTGTTAGCCTCTGCAATGGGGCTACTGGAACAGTTGTTGATATTATCTATCAGAACAACCATCAACCACCTGACTTGCCTATTGCGGTAATAGTAGAATTTGAAAACTATAAAGGGCCTGTTTTTGATGAAAGCCGACCATTGTGTATCCCAATATGTCCAATCACTGTCACATCACAGACAGAAATAGGTTTCCATGAGAGGCAACAGTTACCTCTTAGGCTTGCTTGGGCTCTAACAATACACAAGAGCCAAGGACTTACACTTCCAAAAGCATGGACAGATATTGGCAAATCTGAAAGAACTGCTGGAGTTTCTTATGTTGCTATTAGCAGAGTAAAATCTCTTGCATCTTGGGTCATTGAACCAATGACGTATGAACGATTAACAAGCTTGAAATCATCAGCTAACTTACAATATAGGCTTGACGAAGAAAACAGGCTAGATCAGTTAGCACAGGCTACTAGCAGTGCATTTAGATCAACAAACTATTGAGTTTGAATAAGAGAGGGATTTTATATATGGATCCCAGTTATAGTTATAGTTTGGTATGTACTTTCACTATATACCCTTTTAAATAATTTAATTTATTATATAATAACTAATTTACTCCTTGTTATCACTGTATGTATGAAAATATTATGATTTGCAAGACAAAAGAAGGGTAAGTTTTTTGTTTGTTTAATTAACCCCTCCCCCTACTTTTATTTTCGTTCAGTTACGTGCTACTATGTTTCCACATAAATATCTTATGCTATCAATTATTTTTTTCTATAGTTTTGCCATTCTGACGGGTGTGAAAGGTGCCATGATAACTGCTGGATGAAACCAAATGTTTTTACAGCCAAAATATGATATGGATAATATATTTCTGTACATCTCATGAAAATGGATGGGAGCTTCTGAATTAACAAAAGTGTATTTCTATTAAAACAAGAATGCTGATTTACAAGATTGTTTGGATATATTACAATACATCTGATGTAATGGGATATGGAATCTGCTATCTATTGTTAAATTACTGTACTTGTTTCCAATCTACCTTATGGATGTCAGGAACATTGTATGTCAAGATATTACATGCCTTTATATGTACAGTATCCTAACAAGTTATTGGAGAATATGACGGCCAACAATGGACACTACCTGTACATGCTAAATAAATACGTAACATCTGCATATTGGACAAAAAATGAATGGCACTATCTTGTTTACCAATTGGAAAATACAGTAGACTATTATTACTTGGAAAGAATGTAAAAACTTGCAACAAACTAATCATATCACGTTAAAAGACATGTTCTTCTTCCTAATTGTGTTCTTCTGGACATTTTGACAAGTGAAGATGGTTTAAAACATTGGTACCAACAATCACATGTGTAAATATGAAAATTCGAACTTCGAAGTACACTTTAAAGTATATAGTAATTAGTGCATTATTAAAGAGGGTCCTGAAGGGGGGGTCCCAGTCCCGTTTCCCACCTGAAATTTTGGCAAAATCCCAGTCCCAGTTGGATTTTTATTAAGAATCCCAGTCCTAGTTATTGAAATCCCAGTCAATAAAAATCTATCGGTAGAATAAATAGTTATAAACCTTTTAAGCTGCCGTGTGTGCGCACCGTGTGGCAGAAGCGGTTAATGCGCTGTCTCTTGCCATTGAATTAAGCCTGTTACTACGTATATACCGGAAGTATATACCAGAAACCAGGCATATATTCCGCTGTGCATCTGACTTGGGGACTCTCATAATCAGAAAACCCAGAATTCCGGGCGCCAGAGTATGCCTGTGAATAATATAGTTAACAAAAAAATTCGTGACTAAGGGACCGGTCATTATTTATGGAAGGGGGAGGGCAAAAATAAGGGGGGTCATATGTATAAATAAATTAATAGAAGGGGGGGCTATTAAATTTTCTCAAGAAAATGAGGGGGGTTGTATCCATTTGGTTGTAAATGTTGCGGCTAAATCATGGTCACTGATGTGAAATAGTTTGAATTTATCTTGTCTTTTGTGTGCTGTATGCAAATCAGTCTTTACCAATTGCAGAGATAAATTGTGATTGTATTATTACATCACCTATCTTGACTTGGTTACAATCGCCCAGACCAAATGGAAACTTGATTTTAGTGTTATATATAAAAATACTCACAGACCTGCCAACCTTAGCGACTGATATATAGGGAGAATTCTTATTTAAACACTTAATTTGGCGAGAGAATTGGCTGTTTAGAGGGAGAAAACCCATCAAAGCCCTTTTATTAGAGCAGTCAGATTAGTGGCTCATTCAAACTCCTATAGCTACACTCGCAGCACAAGAAGCCCCTTGACAAATGTTAAATTGGGCACTATCTTGGACTGAAAATACAACATGAAGACGTGTTTTAACAAATACTTCAATTTTGACTTTCCGAACATAATAGAATCTAAAATGATGTCATTACAATAAATGAATGAAACAAAACGCAGCTGTGTGTAGATATTTTTCGATAAAATTCAATAAGATCGACAAGAAATCAGGATAATTGCCAGTTGCCAATACCGGGAGAAATTTTTCACTACCGGGAGACCGGGAGATCACATTTCTATACTGGGAAACTCCCGGCAATGTCAGAAGAGTTGGCGGGTCTGAGGTACTCCTCTTTTAATTATAATTTTCTGCTAATATATACATTTGGTCGACGTTAATATCTAATATTTTAATAATTAACACTATAACGTCCGTGAATCTCTATTTGACAAGTAAAAATGAAAATGGGGGGGGCAAAGAAAAATGTTCTAATATGCAGGGTTTTTTTTTTAATTTCTGCTCTTTTAAGAGGGGGGCTTTCAATTTAAAAATGTGGGAAAGAAAAAATTCCTCCCCCTCCCCTCTTCCGTAAATAATGATCGGTCCCCAAAGACACCAAAAATGGATCAAAATTGTATTTTAAAATACTTAAAACGTGCAAAAATTGGGAATCGCCTCGCATTACCTCAATCCCATTCCCGTTTTTGAGGACTTCATTTCCCATTCCCAGTGGCCAAATCCCAGTCCCAGCAACCCAAATCCCATTTTCCCAGTCTAAAAATAGATCAATCCCAGTTCCCATTTTACCCCTTCAGGACCCTCATTAAACAAAATGAATTCATACATACAGTGTATAGATATGGCGATTTAAATAAATGAAGTTTTTTGGTATAATCAATCCCCAGACTTTGGGTCGTAAGGCAGCACTTCCCTTGCGATAGTAACTTCTAGTATTGAACTTTAACTTTGATTTTCTTACCCTGCTGGCAGTGGTTTCTGAGCTGAGGAGAAACCACTGCGAACAAACGAACGATCGTTTCATGTAGCCGCCGTCCAGATCTGTCTGTTGAAAATCTACAGTATTAAAATCATACATCAAAGATAAGTCAAACGACAGTATACTATATTATGTCTTTCAAGGCACTTTATATTAATATTAATATTATTTAGTAGTGTTTACAACATTTATAAATTTTATAAACAACTTTCGTTTTGACACAACTCACACAAGTTTAAATTTTTTGCTTTATATATACTTAATAATACAAGTGAGATTTAAATGTTTTGCTTTGTGGAATAGAATACCGTTATTTTTTAATGGACAGTTTGTATCGTCTTTATCATATCCAGGATTGCTTGTAAATGCATATATCAGTATGACACTATCAAATAAATATACAAATATATTTGAGAGCCCTATTTTTTAGAGCATATTAATGACTAATGAACTAAATGAAAACTTTAAAAATGTTAGTAGAAGTAGAAAACTCGAAAATTTATGTTTATTCGTATGACAGTCTGTACGCGTCTGACACTGTAAATTTGTGATATATAGATTTAGTATATTAGGAAAATATTATAATTACAGTAAGGCCAAATAAAAAAAAAAAATACTTGGTTAGCGTCACCGCCCGCCTCTCGATTTTCTGCCGCCTCTGAATTTTTTAAAATTTTTTTTATGTAAATCTCTTCGTTTTACAGCTTAAAACAGTTTAATATTTGAAATTTTTCTCATGCTCAGACCTTCGCGCTATATACTGATCTGATCGATAGGAGCACGTAGGCTTGGGTATACAAGGTTCTTAAAGCAAAATGGCGGCCTTCGCAACATCAGTACAAAAAATATCACCGATATGGTGGAAAAACCGCCCCCCCATCCCCTCCAAAAATACTATTAAAAAATTAAAAAACGAGTAAAAATTAAAAAAAAAAATCCGCCCGCCCGCCTCTGAAAATTTGTGAGAGTGTGACGCTAACCAAGTATTTTTTTTATTTGGCCTAATAAAGACCAAGAAAAAGGCTAAAGCCTGACTA